CAACTTAAATTCTTCCTTTTTAATTTTCATCCCTTTTATATTCTTTTTGTCTCTAATATTTCTATTTAGCACTTCCAAGGTTAACACAAACAACAGAGGTGATAGTGGGCACCCTTGTCTTGTTCCTTTTCTTATATCAATAGAGTCTGTCAGTTCTCCCTCTATCATTACCTTTGCTGTTTGCTTATGATATATAGCTTCTATTGCTTGAATACATTTTTTAGCAAAGCCCATCTGTTCCAGCAGTAATAACATGAATCGCCAATTCACATTATCAAATGCCTTCTGTGCATCTAGAAATATCAAAGCCATTTGTTTTTCAGGATGTGCCTCGTAGTATTCCAAAGTGTCCAAGATTACTCTCATATTGTCTTTAATTTGTCTCTTTGGTAGAAATCCATTTTGATCAGGATGGATAAAATTGTTTAAGTATTTTTTAAGTCTTTCTGCCAATATTGAAGCAAAAATTTTATAATCTGCGTTTAGTAAGGAAATAGGTCTATAGTTCTTGATTTGTAATGGATCGGCCTCCTCTTTTGGAACAAGTGTAATATAAGCTTCTGACCATGATTTAGGTATCCTCTTCTTTAACATAACTTCATTCATAACTTCTAGCAATGGAACGTTCAAAGATTCATTCATTCAACAAATGATGATGAAGTATGATGAGAGACTCCAAAAAATTGAAGAAGAAGATAAACAAAGAGACAAGAAGATTGGAGATATTGATAACAGATTAACTGTGGTTGAACAAGATAAAAGTGGTATGCTGAGATGGGAGATGGACAGATCAGAATTTTATCTTAGATTCCAAAACATAGAGGAAGAAAAGGGACAAAACCTAGCTGAGATAATGATAGTTATATTGGCTGAAGCTTTGGAAATAACTGAAGAGAAGATGATGGATGGAATAGATGAGGTCTATCGAGTCTTCACAAGATATGCAATGAGAAATAGCTTACCAAGAGAAGTTCACATCAGATTTACAAAGAAAGCCATTAAAACGCAAATATTGCAAGTGGCAAGAGAGAAAACATTGAAATATAAAGACAAGGGGATTGTGGTCTTGAAACAAGTACCCAGAAGAGTGAGAGAGATGTGAAAAGAATACCAATTCCTGACCAAAATGCTACTTAAAAAAGAGGTGAATTATAGATGGCTGATTCCAGAAGGTTTAATGTTCACATGGCAAGAACAGAGATATAGAATTGACTCAATTGAGAAAGCTGAATCATTTTACACAGAATTTTTTAGAGGGAAAGAGGAAGAGGCAGAAAAAGAAATTTCACTAATTGAATTCCAAGAGGACTGCCAAATGACGACTGAAAAAGAAGAAGGCGCAGTAGGTGGAAAGGAGGAAGCCAAAGAACAACGTGAACCAAGATCTACGAGAGCTATCAAACCTAACTACAAAATATAACCATGGAAGAAAAAAAATTGATTACAATTAATGTAAATGGACTTAACTCAGCTGTTAAAAGAAGGAAAACTTTCCATAAATTAGAGAAATTAAAATTTGATATAATTTGTCCACAAGAAGTACATATTAAAAAACAATATGAACAATTGTTGGTACAGCCAAAATTAGGGAAAATATTTACTTCTTTGACACAATGCAAGAAAAGAGGAGTGGTTTTATACATTAAAGATATTATCCCAGCGAAATTGATTTATACTGATGACGATGGAAGAATACTAATGGTGGAAATAATGGACAATAATACGAAAACACTCCTGATTGCAATCTATGCTCTGAATGACAATCAAGAAGAATTTTATAAAAAATTACATATGAAAATAATTGAACTGGACTATGCTAATATAGTTATGATGGGAGATTTTAATGGAATTGTAGACAATAAACTGGACTATATAGCACAGAAAACAATAAAGCAAAACAGAAAGACCCTCCCTAAATCTTTTTTTAAAATGGTAGATGAAATAAACTTAAAAGATACATGGAGAGGAAGAAATGCTAAAACTAAACAATACACCTTCTACTCAAATAGACATTTATCATCGTCCAGAATAGATATGATATGGATGTCAACAGAATTGTTAACTAATATTCAAGAAATAAATATTGAAACAAGTACTTGGGCAGATCACAATCCAATGACAATTAAATGGAAAGGACAAAGAAGAAGATCTAGATGGACGTTAAATAATACTATATTAAAGGAAAAATACTTCATACAGTGGATGGAGAAAGAACTGGCTTTTTTCTTTAGAGAAAACAAAAAAGAAGATACATCAATCCAGAACGTATGGGATACGATGAAGGCATATGCCAGAGGCTTGATAATATACTATACAAGGAAAAGAAATACCATGAAAAGATTAGCCTCTAAGGCATTAGAGCAGGGGTGGGCAAACTTTTTGGCTCGGGGGGCCGCATTCACTTTTAAAATTTGACAGACGGGCCGGGTCAGCACAAGATTTTTTGGGAATCGCCCCCCCCTTCCCCCCTTCTTCTCCTCCTTCCCCTCCCCTCGGAGGCCCCCTGAGTCAGGAGTTGCTACTGCCGGCACGGCTCCACGCGGCTCCAGTCCCACGTTGCCTCGGGAAGGGAAAGGCAAAAAGGAAGAGCCGCGGCGGTGCTTTGCAACAGCAGCAGCGGCACCGGAGGTTCAGGCTCAGCAGCTCCTGGTTTTGCCTTTCCCTTCCCAAGGCAACGTGGGACTGGAGCCGCGCGGAGCTGCGCCGGTGGTAGCAACTCCTGACAGCCCCAGCTGGACACCTGAGCAGAGCCCGGGCAGAACTGCCTGTTGCTGCTGCGGGCGCTGCTGCGGGCGTCTGGCTGCCCAAGTAAAGAACCGCACCAGCTCAGGGCAACTGTGAGGAGCAAGAGGGGAGAGGCAGAGAAGGAGGCAGAGAAGGAGGAGAGCACCTGGCCAGTTGGGGGAGGCTTCTTGTGCTGCCAGTTGGGGGAGGCTTCTTCTCCGGCTCCACTCTGCTTCTCCAACATCCGGTGCTGCCCTGTTCTGTGCGCCGGCTGCTCGGACTTGCTGGGCCTGACACAGAACAGGGTGGCGCCGGATGTTGGAGAAGCAGAGCGGAGCCGGAGATCATTAGCCGCCTCTTTCGCAGCACAAGAACAACAGGGTGGTGCCGGACCATTGGAGAAGCGGAGCAAAGCCGGAGAT